ATGAATCATCCTCTTTACTGTCACAATACTACGGAAAGACAAGGGAAACACAACGGGAACAGACATGCCAAAGGGTGAATACTGGTAGAAGTTGCATCAGAAACCCTGCTATCTGCTGTTTGCCAAGTAGAGGAAGCCATCGTGACCTCATCCAATGTTTGTTAAAGTTTTGAAACCTTGAGTTAGACATTAAATTGAGAGCTAGGGTAATTTTCTTCAGACAATCAGATTTCCTTTTGGCACCAGTGCGCCCCCCGCTGGCAGGTGGCCTGCTACAAGATCTAACACAGTAATAAGCATTGTCAACTTTCACCTGCGGATTGTAGTCATTACATTTGACCAACTGTCAAGCTGAATATGCAAAGTATTTATTATATTATGACATGCCATTTTTATATCCTGTTTTATAGAAAATAATAGTTATAACGGTGTTACTGTTTTATTACATGATATACTAAGTTATGTTTCTATGAATGTACATATTTACACAGCTGAACGCAAATCATATTATAGGTAATCACTCATATCAAACAAATGCAACTTATTTTATATTATTTTGTATAGTTTATATTTTAAATTCAATTTACAGTACTGCTGCTACAACAGAATTCCCCCAGCTGTCTGTTATCTTGACGTCACATTATCAAATAAAATGTCCTTTTATCTTTTCTTTATCAGAAGTTATCTCATTTATTGTCACTTACTCAACATGATGAAGCACATTGTATTAAATAGGAGCCTTTACATTGAACTCTTGTAATAAAGTTAGATGTAGAAAGTACATGTAATGGGATAACAGGTGGAAACTAGGTGTTAGGTACATCTAGAAAAAAGCTTTTTTTCTCTTTTTGTGAGATATTTTGTGGTCTTTAACATTTAATAAACCAACTTTATCAAAGCCTATCCCTCAAATGTCCCCCTCACCCTCACTATTCCAGTGTGACACAATCACTTTAGAGGTGGTTTCCGTGTCAGCCCGAGTCCCAGTGCTGCGTTACACCGAGTCCTCCTTGTGGCAGAACAGAGGAGAGTCCTGAGAGGATTAACTAACACTTCTCTGTGAGTGGACGACTGGAGACACAATCAACACCTGCTGTCACAGCTGAGAATCACATGTCTAATGTGGCACAACGGGGCAGTGGGGGTAGGGGTGTGTATCGGTCGCTTCATGGCCATCTGAAGTAAAGAGCTGATGAGGCCAAAATCACTTCTGAGGTTAAGAAATGCAAAATGGTTTTGGAGTAGTTTTCAAATAATGGCCAGAAAGTGACTCCTCTGAGATAAACGGGTGAAAATAATAATACTTTACCACATAACTGCTCCTTTTTCAGGCCTACAGACAGTTACAGACTGTGGTGGAGTGTATCCTGTAATGATAAGAGCAACATCTTGTATCCTATGTGTCCTTGTTTTGTTGTGCTTTCTTCACAGTCTTGTGTCATTCATCCTTCAGCTAATGCCTGGCAGAGACTCAATCTCGCCTTACTCAGTCTAGCCTGAACAGGAAAACTGACACAGCAGCTAAACAGGGAGCGAACAGCAACAACACACAGACAGCGTAGGGAGATTAGAGGAAGAAAGATAAGGAGTCAACACTGAACAGGATGGGCAATTTATATGGCTCTGTTTCCTTAAACTGCAATTAATGTTTATTCCTGGTTAATACATTGCTAACTGCGCCAATAGGTTTAGGGTTTGAATAAAAAAGCTGGATTTGTTTTGGTATTATTTTACTGTGTTATAACGAGGCCAAGTAGGATATGTTTTCTGTCTGATGGTAGAATTAGGGAAAAATTAGTGAACCCATTTTCATGAAATTTATAAGAGGGTTTTAACAGGGGCAATTCGTAAAAAAAAAAGTAAACATAGCGAAGCAGGGCATTATATCTGTTACAAGCCATAAGTAAGAAGAAGTTTTGGGTTGCCAGGTTGTGGAAAATCCTGCTTTAATTCATCAGGGATGCTCCCCAATTAATTGTTCTTAAACTCATATAAAGAGAACCATTACCGGAAAACCGGTACTCATATTGATCCTTTTCACTGACCTCTGCTCCTCTTCCAGCTCCTCTGACGACATCATCTTCTCCAAGTGATGGGATCGCGCCTTTCCAGGGACGTACTTCAAGGAATCGTTTATCTCCTCTTTATCTGATGAAGCAGATCATCCTTGATAAGAAATCTTACACCAAACATTTATTTTGAAATAAATAGTTGCATATATTTGAAAATGTATCTCACCATCTATCCCCGGGCTCTCTGTGGCTCCTTCAGTCTGAGGGATTGAGAAAGCACACTTTAGAAGTTGCTTTTCAGAGAGCCCAATGTATGACCTACGACACGACGAGGCCTCGGACGACCAGTCCACCTCTAAGCTCTCGTGTCTACACCCAGAACTGGGCACGGACAGGCTGGTTGTCGAGTGGTGCTTAACTGGTGTTGCCACTTCTTTTGTGAGAGGGTGAGGATGTGCCTCCTCCTGTCAAAGAATTAAGGGGTGAAAAGAGGGGCATTTTTTTCTCCCTTAAACTTTATCAATTCATGTTTTCTTAGGTAGCCCCGGATTAGAAACTGGTTTACAGATATTGAACTCCAAACAAATACCCCCTTGTGTTACCTGTATTTCTCACCTCTCCTGGATGCTGATCTGGCCTACACTTGGCGCAGGTGTCAGGTTAGCTTTTCATACCTTTCTCCCTTGGGTGCTGATTTGACCTCTTTACATGCAGACATCCAGTTTAAAAAAACAGGCCAGTGAGGGTCTTGAACATTGCTGATATGTGTGGAGGAGGCTCTATTGCCATATTTCTATTAGTGAAACCAACATATATCAAAAGAAGACTAAAGTTGTGTTGCCCTTTTCTTATTATTGATACCAATGTATGCTAAAAGACACAAAAGTACTGTCATGGTCAGTCCGTGTTGCCCTCAACATCCCACGTTTATTTTGTGGGATGTTTCCTACTAGAAATATCCCAATAGTTGGAAATCAACTACTTTTAAAGTACTTTGCTTTGGTACAATTTTTAATATTTACTTGAGTTTTCCATTATATTTTAATTAACATTGTTATGCTTCCGTTTAAAAGCCCATTTGTTCTATTATTGAATAATACGTTGATTATTTCCCTGATTGATAAAACAATATTTAGTCTAAATTATAATTAAATTACACAGTTTCTCTTAACGAAATGTGAGCTCTTCAAATGTCTTCTTTATTTAGTTAACTAACTTTATTTTTGCGGTAGAATTTCAGAAAAATATCATCGGCTAATAAAATGTAAAGAAAAGTTACATACTAAACTACCACCAGTCTATATAAGAAATTAGCCTCATAGACTTGCTACAATGTTAAGATGTTTCTAACATATTAATGAATCAGTAATAATAATCCAATAATAATAATAAAGCAAATGTATCTCTATTCATTTTTCTAATGTTTACCCCACCTGAAGTAACATTTCAAAGGAACAGCTACATATACATCACTTGTATATTTCCGTGTACTTTTTACTCCACTAAATGCAACATATTAAAAAAAATAATCCTTTAAACTAAACGTATTTCATGTCTCCCATCTTGCCTTTTACTTTTATAGGTGATACATTATTACGTTACACTTTAGTGAATTCAATTTATAATGCAGCTAAGGAGTGTTTGGTAGCATTGCTGCTTCGTCCACCTCTGACTGGACATGCACACTGTACTTGAGTGGGAGGTGAAGTCAGTAAAACAGATTATGCAATATAAAACAAACAATCACAGCTCTCTCATAACGGTATTGGACTACAGATTACTTACTGAAAGCACAGACTTCACTACATCCCAGTGATCATGCGAGTTTGCGCTGATCTCACACCAGTCGTCCGCCGCCTTCTTCTTCTTGTCCGGCAGATGGCCGTTCTGCTGCGGCCCCGCTTCATCTAATCCTCTGGCTGCACTGTGTCCGAAATAACTTGCAAAGTCGGCGCAAGGCGATGAGCCGCTAAATAAAGACGTAGCGACCACAATAGCGAGCAGCGTGAAGATAACAGCGGATATTACAAAAGTTAGATCCATTTCTGTGGAGCCTGGTGGATGGTGGTGTTAACAGGCCTGTGTTGTGACCGTCTACCCCGCTTTCTGTTCACCTGAGTCGGCCGCATTCAATTACAGTCGGCCATCCCGCTGCTTGTATTAATCCTCCCCAGACATCAACGTTAACGAGCAGCGTTTACGGGATATGCTACAATCTCCTCTCGGAGCAGGACGTCACATCCTCCGGCCCCGCCCCCACGTCAGCAGAGTGCCCCAGCTTTATTACCCCGCTCCGCCCCCACCCACCACGTCCAGGTGCAACGTGCCCGGCTCCCTTCTGCTGGTAATCGCCTCAGAGGTGAGAGTAGCGCACACTGGGAGATGGTGATGGTTTGTGACAGCACCAGGCTGATGGAGTCAGGCTCGGTTTACAGTCTGCACCAGGGATTAATCGACACCTTCAAACTACATTACCCCCAGAGTAATCTACAGTCATAATGGTTGAACCCAATATAATATTGCATATTCCGATTTGTATTTTAAAACAATTTATTGTGCATGTTTCTTTTATTGAACTCATTAAACAACAGTAAACATATCCCACATTAACTTATCCTGGTGCTCAATTCTTGTTGAAATACACGGCTTCAACAATCAAGTTCAGTTTAAATATCTTTACATCCAAAAAATGTGCTTGGAATAATTAGTTAATTATTAAATCTATATACTTTCTTCTTAAATAATTTATAAAATGTAATCTACTCCTATGAAAAATGTAATGTATGTGAAAAAACACTTTTTCCCAAACAGTAGTCACCGTGGCCGTATTAGAACTATGAGACAATGATAAATGTTATTATATAGTGTGACAGTGGCACAATTGGAAAAGTCACATTAATGCAAAGTTTAACAGAGAACAATCATTTCATTGTCAATGCAAACCATTCTGATAGTTGTGCGTATGACAAATAAATACTTGAAACTTGATTTGGAACGACAGATGTTTATTGACATTCACCTAAAGCAATTACAAGACGTTTGAGGTTCAGAGGAATGAAATACACAAATAATTTCTTTAAGCAGCCTGGACTGCCCATTAAACCCTTCACTAGGAGTCACACTGGATTCAATTAAAACAAAAAACCAAGCAAAACCAGTTATTAACAGTGGATAAACCACAGAGGAGGGGTGGAGAGTGGGAATAGAGAGAAAAGGAAGGAGAGAATCTGTACAGCACATGGGGAGGGGAGAGGGGGGGGGGGGGGGAGATCACAAGACAGGAGAGGATAGGTGATCTGCCACACTTGTGAGCTTACAAACCGGCAAACAGCAGCGGAGGGTCGAGCCCCGGAACAGCGCCGGGCACTCAGCACCGCAACACGCCACACCATGTCACCACCGCACTGCACCGCATCTTAACAGCTAACCAGCATTACTCAACTGCTACACAACTGCGCCTAGTGCACAAAGGATACACAAGAAAGAGGGTTAGAGTCATAGGAAAGCAACTTTAGCCAGACAGAAAATAGAGATTTGACAGAAAATAAAAACATGTAGTCTGCGGGATAAGCAAATTAAAATATTAAGTGCCTTTGATGTTTTGCCTTTTTCACTGTACAGGAAAAAAAATATTCTCCATAAGAGTGGTAAAACAGATGTAAAAGCTCTGAACATTCAACATTACACCCTGCAAATAAAACGTTCATATTCATTTAGAAAGAGTATTAAACAAGGGGTTAAATTAAAGGAAATGTAAGTTCATAAAAAAGTGCAAGGGTAATTAAAATGCAATAAACCCAATTTAAATCAGCAAGAGAAGAACTTATTTTAAATCCCTTTCAAATTGCTCAACTTCGCAAACAATGATCACATCAATGTTACAAAATTGTTTTTGTAAATAAAGTCAAATCTAAACATTTTAGACCAAGCTCCAATAACCTTTCAGTCTGCTTTCAGTGGTAATAGTGGAGTCCACTTGCTCAATGTGAGACTCTTCCTGATGTCCTCAGCAAAGGCTCAGTCATCTGAGATCTGCAAAGAAAGACAAAACAGAATTAGGAAATGCCAAAAATATTTTATTTCTAAAAACTCCTGAAGCTGACCTAGACATTTAATCACAGTGCTTGTCTGATCTGCTCACAATAACATTAATCATAGTGCATTTTCCCCCTGGGCATCTTCATGTATACCCAACATTTCTAGTAACTTTCACATTTGTTTACACACCTTACCCGGCCCCCCTTTACAATAGTACTAGCTTTAACAAGTCTTACACCCGGGCGAATTGGAAAAACAAACCTCGGGGGTCCGTTCCCTTTGTGAGGCAGAGGAGCCCACAGGAACAGGTGGGCACTGACTGCTCAGTGCATCTGCCTGTAATCCCCGCCAACGTACCTCACCACACCACCTCACACACCAACTGACAGCCCGAACCACTGCCATGACGACCTGCTCCATAGCAACCACCGTTGCCTTGGTGACCTGCTCCTTAGCAACTGCCATAGCTCTCAGCAATCAGGCAGGTCACAAGGGCGGGTCACACACTAACTGCTCTCACACTGCCACACCCCCATCTCCTCCTCCTCTCTTTGCAAACAGGACTCCGCAGCTTGGAGGAAAGAATTCCACATTTAGGTGAACGTTTTTGAGTGAAGCACCCCACGTCCCTCCCATACAGCCCATTTTGAAATATAGGTTACACTAGGTCCAATCAACCCAAATCTCCTGTTGTCTGTGGGTGCATAGATTGGCAATGCAAAGTACAGCACACACAGAACTAGGACTGTAGACAACATCAGTCCCAATCTTATTTTTACCATTTCAAAAAAAATGTTTGTTACTTTTGTGCAAATGCATGACATGTAACACCAAGACTGCAGAATAATAACCCAACTGATGACAAATAGCCATTTTAGGAATACTATTTGAAGCAAATAATATATTACACCCTTCCCCCTTAATACCGTCATGCTGTGTCCAAGACTGGATTAAGTCTCTGCTCCGTTGTCCTCTGGAGATTTTGGCCTACTCTTGGATTTGGAGCGGGACCTCGATTTGGACCCTCTGTTTGAAGGCGGGGTTCGACTCCTTGACCTAGAAAACCGGGACTTTGAGGGAGATTTTGTCTTGCTTCGTCTTGGGGTCCTGGACTTGGACTTGGACCTGGAGTCGGAGTGAGACCTGGAGCGGCTGTAGTGGTGGCGGCTCCTGGAGCGGGAGCGGCTCCTGCTCCTGGAGCGGCTGCGTCTGCGATGTCGAGGGCTGGCTGAACGACTGGGAATACAGAGAGAAGAACAAACCAAAATAAGATGGAAACTGACAAGACTTATTGTCAGAGAAAAAGAACACTCACAATCAGGATAATCAGGAATATCCTCACACCAAGTCTTAGACAATTTTGCTGTTTTAAAGTGTATTTTAGTTATGCAGGTGCTCCTATCTGTAATGCAATGCTTAGTATTTGGATTCCATTTTTAGGTTTTAAAGTCTATTTTGAAGATAATCTGAATAATTTCGTCAATGGCAGAATCTTAGTCAGTATAATATTGTCCCATGCCTACAAAATCAAGGATTGATGATGAATGACTCCTAATACTTGCAGATTACTAGATATTAAAACAATGGTTAGATGCAGACTTACTATATTATATCCACAGCAACTATATGTAAGTAAAGCTACAACAAAGAATAGTAACTACATAATGATAAATGAACTGTCCTGTTAAACTGAAAGGGTTGCTTCAACTTAAGAAACACTAACATACATGGAAAACAAGCTGAAGATGACAAGGTTAGTTATGTTTTGCACAATTTTGACCCCCTCCTATAGCAACAATACGCCACAGCTAAACTTAGTATCCACAACAGTATTTACCTCCTGCGTCCGCCGTACCCCCCTCCGGATCTGCGCGGCGGAGCCCCTCTCCGGCTGTACATGGAGTCCGGGGGTCTCCCGTAGCGGGCCATCTGCACCCGGAGCTCCCGCCCGTCCAGCAGCGCGCCGTCCATAGCATCCATTGCGTCCTCGGCGTCGCGCTTGTCAAGGAATCGCACGAAGGCGAACCCGCGGCTCTCCTTAGTGTACCTGTCCCGGGGGATGTAAACATCTCCCACACGGCCGTACTTCTCAAAAACTCGGCGCAGAGTCTCCGGTGAAGTACGGTACGTCAGGTTGTCCACTTTCAGGGAGGTCATCCCCTCAACGTCTGGCGGCGCCCTTCCGTAGCTCATTGTGTCTGTCTCCAGTCAACACAGCAGCCCAGTCCAACCCGTTAGGCCCAACCGTTATGCTTGTCTGTTAATCTCCAATTTGTGTAATTATTGCAGATTTTGGGATATTATGACACTGGCTGTCGTCTCTGCGGCACTGGTTTCACCTGAAATGGCGGCAATAAAGCTTCCTTTTCCTCTTTCATTCTTGCGCCCGTGTTGGCCTCTTCTGATTGGCTGCTCGACTTCTGCCACAGCACTGCCCTCTGTCGACAGGGAGTAGCTTTAAACGATAATATTGGACAAACTGCTGCCTTTGTTCTCTTTAGTTTCATTCATATAAGCTAGTTGTCATGAGTTAAGTTTTTTATTTTGTTTATCAAGGCCGGACAGTGTTGCTGTGAATCCAGGGTCGCTTAGAGTTTGGTTCCTGTGGCACTACTTGTTGCGGTACAAAAAAAGCACAGCAACAACCTTTCCCGTTTTGTACGCTGAACTGAGTTTTCTACTGCCAATTTCCACCCATGTTTAGAGGGTAATGTGGTTTTTGCTCGGTGTGTATACCATAGTCCCGTCCTCTCTGCACTGCAGTCAGCACTACTCGCACATTTGGCGTAGGAAGGTCACGTTACAAAGTGGGTCGGCACTATCTGCTGCTGCTGCTGGAGAGAGGAGGACTGCGCAAAAAACCACGGCCCGGATTTGTGCCTGCCTTACGTCATAGGAAGCCTCGGACCTCTCTGACAGGATCCAACAATGAGAGGCACCGGGGATGATGTGTGACCATAGACTGTATAGTGTGTGACCAACAAACAGCGGGCCGGGAGATGTCGACGAGCAGCACACGGCTGTTTTGAGCCACACACTCGCCCGTAGAGTAAAAACCAGTCACGGAGAATTATCGCTTTGATTGCGGCTCACCATGAGAGTGCCTCTCCGCTGTTAAAGGGACAACTACGGCTGTTTTCTGCCTCAAAAACGAGCTGGTGACCGGGGAAGGATAAGCAGCTGGATAACTAATCCCCCAGGACGGTCACATTCACGACGGTGTTTGGACCCGATAGAAATGGACATGCATGCAGGGTAGCACGGACTGGATTAAACGATAGGGAATAAAAGAGACGCCGCGAACAAAGCGTACCCGAAGAAGTGTTATGCCAGTTAATCCGTGTGGTCTTTATTTGACTGGAAATGGGAGCTTTAATAAGCAGACAAAACATAGGCGTGGAAGAACTGGACATTCCGTCCAGTTCGGTGTACCGTTATCCACCGAAATCTGGTAAGTCACCGAGCAGGTCACACTGACTGCGGGTCACTGTAACATGCTTTAAAGCTCAATTTCGTGTTTCAAACGCATGGAAGGGAGATGAAAGTAGGGATCAACATCAGAACCATCACCCTCTTACCTATAGCTGCAGGCCTGCAGAGCATTCAAGCCTGAGGAGCTACCTGTGGAGAGGAGAGAGGACCAATAACGAATTTTTCTGAGCTTTCTTTCAACTTAATTTCTCTCTTTACATATTCAAATTGCACACTGCCTTTGTCTCATGTTTATTCATAACGTTTTATCATGTAATTTAATGTATTTCTGGCACTGCAGCATTGCTAAATTGTCCATGGAGCAACTCATTTAAATAGCCATTGGCTCTTATTGTGGTGCATTTATGAGCTGGACCTCTGATCATGCCTATCTCAGTCTGTCTGTTAAAATGAATCATTAATGATGGACCCCAAGAGGAGGAACATGAAAAATACCTACATCATCATTAGCAGCAGAACTTTTAGTTTACAAGAAAGGGCTACAACCAATGTTTTTCTTTCTGTGTACTTTAATGTGCACGTCATCCTTTTTACAAAATATAATGATGTCAAACTAGAGAAAACTGTTGTTGAGTTTTCACAGTGGTCCAAAAGAGTAACAAAGCCCAAGATATGTAATGTTTATTTTTATAAAACCGAGAAAAAGCAAAAAACAATTGAGATTTGGAATTTTAGATTTATATATTTAATAATGAATAAAAAAGATTAGATTTTAAGTATGTAGATTGATAAATTAATTGTTTGACTTAAAGATTGACTATTGTAGCGAATTCAGTACTTATTTAAACCCACATTGTAGTAGATCCTTAAACCAGGTATCAACTGTCATCATTTTTGTTACATTTCAGCACATTCCTTGAATAAATAACTTAATTTTTAGTCAGTAAAACTTTAGAAAATAATGGAAAAATTCGACCATGAAGACATACTCCAATTGTTTGTTTTGTCTATGTTCAGTGTGATCATTATAGGCTTCTCATTTGGAAATCAGAAAGGAAGCTGGACACGTTTTGGAATTTACATTTTCTGTCAGTTGATGATGAGCTCGACTCATCATCTCAACATCTACAAGAGTCTTTGTTACAATAACTGTTTTAGATGTTGAGATGAGACTTTTTAAAGCGCTTCAAAGGTTAATGTGGAAGCAACATTTTTAGGTTTTGGCACATGTATCAAAACATTTCAAACTATACCAAACATGACCCTTATCTACCCGGTTCACCTGACTCACAAGCTGTCCTCTCGACCCTAAACTGACCTCTTGTGTTTTCAATCTGTCTTGTTATTGTTCCTCGATGTGACATTTTCTGATTGCAGCGCCCTGTTCTGCTCCCCACCAGGGTTTAGCAGTAATCCAATATTACCGCCATAAAATCTCATTGTGAAGAAATAATGTTATTGCTTTCCCACTCTATTGTAAGCAAAGACATAAAGTAAATGAAAATCTCTCACACATTTCGACCTGGAACCAAATTAGGGAACAGAAATTGTGATGTGTTGGGCTTTGACATCACAATAATATCTTAGATCTATAGTGATATTATGTGCTGGAGAAAGGAGGGAAGGGAAGGAAAATTGTTGTCTTGTGGCTACCATTAAAGCCTCTTTTGTCACATAATTTAGCTGATTTGTCACAGGCTCTTTGATTGTGTGATGTAACAATCCTAGTTGCAGCCGTGTGGTGGTAATGATGGTGGAAGGGAAGGAAAGAAGCTGGTGGCGATGGCTGCTGGTGAAACCGATCTGTCAGCCACAGTTCCTGTTTCTGGGATCTGGTGACAAATCCTCAGCCAAACTCGCTTCTCCCACCTACTGTTAATAATAATAATAATAATAATAATAATAATAAGGTGATGAAGAGTGAGAGCCAGAGCCCATTGTGGCTTTTTTTTAGTTGATGAGTTGCCGTGTTATGGATTTTTTTTCTACAGTGTGAATGGTTTCAATGTCAAAGCATCCAAACCCACCCTCCTCATAGCATTAAAGAGACAGTTCAACATAAAATCCAAATGTCATATGTAGTATATCGCTATTTTATCAGACTAGATTGTTTTGGTGTGAGCTGCCTATAGTGTTAAAGTTAATATCAACAGACCTTGTTGTTATCAGAGTCATGTAGGAACTATGTAGGTCTGTGGATAATCTTGAGTTACTGGTTCATCATTTATGGAAATAGACAATGACTGTACAGTTTTTCAAATGTAATTTTGGCGCTTTGAGCGGATCAGCCAGTTCCATTATATTCCAGGGAAGTAAGACATCTCTGAGACCAATATCTCCACTACTCACGCAAAAACAATCTTGATTCATAAATAGCTATACAGTTAAGGGGCACATTTTATTTTCGAGTTAATTGTCACCTTTAATAAGAGTGAAAGATGCCAGTATGTAGGTCCTCCCAGCAGCAGATACATGACTTGCCTCTCCAGCATGTATTTAAAGACTGCGAACCACCATTAAAGTCTTATGATATTAGCTCACCCTGTGATTAAAAGGTAAAACGTCTATTTAGTTTTGTTGTCCACGACCCAAAGTCTTGGTAAACAGGTGGAAAAGCTGCAATAGACCCAATAGCAACTCAGCTTCTGTGAGAATGCCCTCACAGATCATCAGTACGGAGCCCTGGAGGGTTCATAGAGAGAAAAATAAATAAAACGAGGCCACGTTTTATTAATTTGTGCGCACGATATACTTTCTCGTTCGCACAAGATACGAGTTACCGGTGCGCCAAGTAGGAAGTGGAGCGCACAGGAGACAACCGTTTCATTGCAGACTGTTATGTTTAAGTGGGGGAAATGGCAGTGCATACATTATTTGAGATATATTTCAATCTCGGACTTCATTTTAGGGACATTTCGGCCAGAGGTGTAGAGCTATTTGTTTAAGCACCGGATTCGCAAAACAGGAGAGTTTGTGAACCAGTCTGCCTTGATCTATGAATTCATGTCCGTGACTCTCACAGTATCTGCTATCTGCACTCAGAGAGCTGTGTCTTTTACGCAGCGCCTTCACTGTGTTTACCTTCATTAGAAAAGCTGAATAGAGATCGAGGCTGCTAGGTGTTAGCCACACACACACACACACACACACACACACACACACACACACACACACACACACACACACACACACACACACACACACACACACACATATCAAACTGCCCGATTATTCCCCCTATTACTTGTTTTATGAAGGAGATGTCCGGTCACCAGGGCGCATGATGTGTAAATAATCCAATTTGTGTTCTGTAAAACTGAAAAGGATATGACATTGTTTTTGTTACTTTCGTTGCAGTTGTATATGTCTTAAATGTCCTGTTTTATTTAGATGCTTTTATTTTGAAGGCGAGTTTACGCTGTTTTCAGGAAGTTCTTGTTGCTATGGAAACGTGATATGCTACAAGATGTGTGTGTGTGTGGGTGTGTGTGTTCGGTATGTGTGTGTCCGACACCGGCATTTGTTTTCAAATGACCACGAACAGTAATTTACACATGGCTAACTCCATATGTGTATTCCCAAGTGAAAGAAGTTCGTTTAATCTTAATCTCGATGTAGGCTAGTGCTAAGTGCTGTCGGAGTGCACCGGAACGAACACCACTATCATAATATCTTCTGAAAACAAATGCCCACACACACAGACACACACAAACATACACGCCCTGGCGACCAGACATCTTCTTCATAAAACTAATAATATGGCGTAATAATCGGGCAGTTCGATGTGTCTAACCCATAGGGTCTAACCATAAGAAAGTATCTTGTGGCCTCGTTTTATTTAAATTAAGTCCACAAATTACATCTTGTGCGCACGAATTAATAAAACGTGGCCTCGTTTTATTTATTTTTCTCTCTATGAACCCTCCGGTGCTCCGTAGATCAGTAACTTGTTTGAAAAACAAAAGTAACTGTATGCATGAGAATTGAAAGACACAGCCACATGGCGCTCACCCTGTCACATGGCGCTCACTCTGTCATTAATATGTTGTACTTCTCTGTGTGCAGGAAGTTACTTCGCCAGCCATTTCATCATGGGGGGAGAGAAGTTTGACTCCACCCATCCGGAGGGTTACCTGTTTGGAGAAAACACTGACCTTAACTTCCTGGGGACGAGACCTGTGGCGGTAGGTGTTCTCACACTAATCATATCAAATCAAGTTTTATTTATATAGCACATTTATAAACGATTTTTGGTCGAGCCAAAGTGCTGTACATAAAATAAAAATAGCCTACAGTAGAAACACTTTACAGCAAATACAACAGCACAGATTGTTCAGAATATCAGTATGACAATACGACACCCTCTGTCCTTAGACCCTCACATCGTACAAGGAAAAACTTCCAGAGAAAACCCACAGTTTAAGGGGAAAAAATGGGAGAAACCTCAGGGAGAGCAACAGAGGAGGGATCCCTCTCCCAGGACGGACAGACGTGCAATAGATGCCGTGTGTAACTATCAGCTGTTTTAAAGGGAAACTCAAGTTTTCAGTGCTTCATTTGTGTACCGTGAGTGCCTACCAAACCACAAACTGATATAATAAGACTGTTAGGGGTTTTCTTGTTTCGAAAACACAAGATTCAAGCTATTCATATAGTATTTGTCTCCACTTCCTATGACACATGCAGATTAGAATATACAGCCCGACATTTGAGTATCCACCCCCACGGGGTGAGAACTGCTTTTCTAGCATGCCAATCATAGCAGACTTGGCTTTTTCAGTAAGGATCTTAAGGAGACCGGTGCTAAAATGGAGTGTTTCAGACAGAAATGTTCAAACACAATGTGTATATTGAGCATTAAATCAGTGTAACATGTTCTCTTAGAAACCCAAAATACAAGTAAAAAATAAATATAATATGTCCCCTTTAAATGTTTAAAACTCAAATAATCTCACCAAAAGTCTGACCCTGATAGAGATGTCAAGGAGCTGTAGCATTTTCCAAAAATAATTTTGGCACATCCGACTTATAAATTGAAATTGAGTAGTGTGGGGGAAACTTCTGTATCAATGGAGAGTTAGAACTCAAAGAGACACGAGGAGAGCTGGAGCTTTGATGGCAAACACTGACGGTTTATTTGGAGCTTCGGCCGGAGAATTCACAAGACATGTCACGGGCCACGGTTTGACCACACGGTTGAGATGCCACAATCAATTCTGAAGAACCCTCCTGTAGCTCCAGGTTTTAACTAGTTCAGAGTGTAATAATCAACATTCTTCAATAGGTAGACTAAACAGCTGAGGGACACTGAATCACATTTGTTGTTGCTTATGGCTCGAGGTCATCTACACCCGAGAAGGATGTGTTCTAGGTGTCCCACAACAATAACTATCACTGACCGAAAGTTGCCTGGTCATAAACTGGTAACAACAACATGCTTGGGCAGCCCCTCCTTAAGGGAGATAGCGGCTGCTTAATGTTGAGCATCTGCATCAGAGGGCAAAAGGTAAACATGTATACAGAATTATTCCCTGACAAGTAGAAGTTTTTGTCAACATTCAGGCCGAAAATGAACATTAAATCCTCAAATTAAACATTTGATGAAAATGCTTTAAGTATTTAAACAAAGCAAGGAATTAAAATAAAGAGATCTCAAGTATCTTCATTATCCATTCATTGTTTTTGTGTCAGAAAATGTTATAAAAAAAACAGCTCAGCATGATGTCTTAGAAGTGAAAAAAAGACAGCGAAATGGCCATTTTTGCCACTTTGCCTTGAAAGATGATTTAAAGTCAATAATCTTGCGTCAAACGGCTCCTTCAACAATCAGTTAAGATGTGAAGCCGTCTCTTGTCATTGAACAGCTGGTACATTTCACCAGTCGCACATTGGCAATTAACAAGCTTCCAGACTGTCACTGATGGAAATGTATTTCAACGTCTCATCCTCAACCTAATTAAAAGTGAAATGTATGTCTGCCGTCTCCCTCGTTCAGAGAGCCCAAAGAGCCACGGTTCCTCCGGAGGGTTCCTTCAACCAAATAATGAACGTGAAGGTTAAACAATTGAGAGCCGCGGATCAAAAAGAGCTCACATCTAGAGAGAAGATAGAGAATTTGTCACAGACGAGTAACGGTCACAGGCTTGAGCTAATATGGAGAGCTCTATCACAGTGTGTGCTAATCTCAGTCTAGACTGGGCTCCTAAAATTAGGAGTGCAGTTTTTCTCCCGATTTATGTGGGTGTTTATAATCCTACTGTTGGCACAGGATGCAGCTGGTGATTTTCTTTCATTATATAATGTTTGGTTGTTTCTAAGCAGATGGTGCCGTGGAATAAAACCAACCGCAGTTGTTGTGTTCCCGATCTCCTCCTGCACCGCTCTACAAATATGATAATGGTTAGGGCAGGCTATATTTAGGGTTTTCAGAAACGCCTGCCCGAAGCACACAGATTTACAAAATGGACGTTTACCCTTTCTAGAATCAATAAGTCGCTCACCACTGTGTTTGGGACTCAAATATCGAATCAACTCTTGGATGGATTCGATGTATACAGATATTAATGAATCACTCATGATAACTCTATACTGTCTTTGGTGATAACCTGTCTTTTCAAATAGCACCGTAATGAGGTGGGCCTCTTTGGGTTTTGGTAAAGTGTCCCAACAAATATTGGATTGATTGCCATGCGATTTGTCAGACACATCAATGTTCCCGTACAGATTAATTATACTAACTTTGATTGGTGCTTTTCATGTGAGATCTTCTGAGCTAAACTTAGTGTTTAATGCTAGTTAGGCCTCACTTCACATCTAGGGCTGTGAGCAAAGGGTAATACAGAAATGTGTGCAGGCCTGATGTGCATCGCTTCTTTGAGGTGAAGACGTTTGTGGCTAACATTTTTTTGTAATTAGTATTCAAGTTACAGCTTGTTTATGCGAGTCCAATGAAAACTGGAAAATACATTTTCTACACAAAATACATTTATTCTGTAGTTTTACACTACAGGAAAGGTTACAAACATACTTAATACTTGTTTTTTAAGATAGCGCTCTACAAAACTACAAAAAAGTCTTAAAGCATAGAAATGCTTCACAACTTAAAAAAAGAGAAAAAGAAGATTGCTAATAATAAAACAGTCCCACAGAGCTGCTACCATGGCACTCGACCTGTAGTACAACATTATTTAAAAATGACCTTTTAATTCTTAAGGAAACAATCACCTATATTTTATATTTAGTCTGAGCATGTATGAGAAAATACAGTGTGTTGCTGTGAAGTTTCCTGTGAGTTTCCTAATGAATGCTTATTTTCAGCATCTGTTACCCCGTGTGTTTGTTTGTGTAGTTTACAGGCGTGACTCCCGCTGAGCCCAGATGTGTAAAAGTACTGAATATGGTGCCATTCACAGACACTCAAAGTAATATGTATGTATATATATATATATATATATATATATATATATATATATATATATATATATATATATATACACACGGACAGATGAGGGTGTGTATGGAGGTATCTGACCACATCCTGCATGTTTCTCCTCAAACCAACTCTCCTTTGGTTCTCCAAAAAAAATACGGAGTGTGGAGAGGAGCCAGTTCACCTCCTGGGCCACTGCCGAAGTGCCCTTGAGCAAGGCACCTAACCCCCAACTGCTCACTGGCGCCGGCTAGACTGGCTGCCTCCGCTCTGACCTCTCAACTGCATGTACATGTGTGCATATAACTGTGTGTATTTGTATATGTATGTGCATGTTGTAAAAAGTGTGTACTGTATTACCTGTATAAAAACGTGTTTGTGTGTAGGACAGAGTGGAAACTGAATTTCCCCCTCAGGGGATTAATAAAGCTTCTTCTTCTTCTTCTTATTCTTCTTCTTCTTCTTCTTTCTTTCTTTTATTCTTTTGGTGGAGGATGTACTCGGAGAGCTGAGGATGGGGAGGAGGAGGAGGGGATGAGGAGGAGTGTGGATTATGAGTGCTGGAGATAGGATGCGATTAGGATGATTGCGGAGGAGAGGAGTTTGATTATTTCGGCTATTATGATGGCGTATTCTTCTTCTATTACTTGTTCTTCTTCTTCTTCTTCTTCTTCTTCTTCTTCTTCTTCTTCTTCTTCTTCTTCTTCTTCTTCTTCTTCTTCTTCTTCTTCTTCTTCTTCTTCTTCTTCTTCTTCTTCTTCTTCTTCTTCTTCGCTCAGTCAACAACTTCTGGCTTCAAACACATAACAAAAGAGTGCTGAGAAGTGAACCACAGAGTGGGTTAAATTCAAAGGGTGTGTGTGACAATTTTACACCAGGGTTTTATCGGTAGCAGTCACTAGAGAAAATAATGCAAGGAAGGTATTTCACATCTTTGTCTTGTCTGCGTTTGCAGAAATGTGCCTATACACTGTCTGAAGTGTCAGCCTCGTCCCTGGAAAGACCCAATCTGAGCAGATTTTTTCGCTGTGGCTCAGCACTTGTCAGCACGGATCTGGCGGGTGCTGACCAACCGAAACGCTCGTGTTAAGGTTAAACCAGAAGCAGCCGGGGCCATTGTGTAACCCTGACTTTCCTGTGGTCAAGAGAGGAATGTCGGGCGGATTGAGGGGAGATGAATGCTGCTACTCTTCTCTCTCATAACAAGTATTTTACATTTATAATTTGTTTCCTTTCAGTTCCCCTACGCAGCCCCTCCGCCTCAGGAACCAGTTAAGACGTTACGAAGCCTTATAAACATCCGTAAGGACACTCTGCGGCTCGTACGGTACGCACCTTTCTTGTCTTGTCAAATATTCTTCAGCAGTACTCAGTAAAGTAAAAAAAACACATATAAATGTAGCAAAATAACATCAAATAACAATATTTAAGGCTATCCTAAAAGCTAAAAATGTCCCTTATCCCAAGAAAATAAGCATGATACTTATGAAAAGAGATTATAGAAACGTATATCTAAATGATTTCCTTTAAATATGATAATTGAATGTCATCAAACTATAACTGAATCCAACTTTGACAGATAATTTCTGTATGATTGACTATTAAGGCTCAAAGCACTCTTTAGCTGGGATAATGCCTGTGTGATAAATATACACTCCATGAATCATTTACTCAAACATTAAATGGAGTTTGAGCCTGCTCATATTCCTGTTCTCTACTTGAAAACATTCCCCTTTGTCCTTATCTCCTCCTCCCCCACCCGTAGGTGCAGCGAGGACCTGAAGCTGCCGGGTGACGAGGCGGAGGGGAAGAACAGGGCCTGCTACAACGTAGAGTTCACCTTCGACGCTGACACACAGGTGGCCATAACCATCTACTACCAGGCCATGGAGGAGTTTCACAATGGAGTGCCAGTGTAAGTGGAAACAGATTTTGCGATCAATATTTGGTTTTGGTTTGGCAAAACTCATAGATTTTTGTATTATCAAGTCTCCCTTTTAATATTTTGCATTGCTCTTATATGCACACCTTACATATCATCAAATGTACAAAGTTATTCAAATTTAGAAAAAAAATATTCTCAGCTTTGTTGCATGATTTACATTGCTCTCCGTATATAAAAAAAAAGACAGGCTAGTATAGAACAGAGAAATGTTTGAATGAATATTCATGCAGACATTCTCAATTATGACGATTTTTCTGACAAATATTGCGATTGCGATTCCATATGCGATATTTGTTTTTAAGCGACCCAACGGAGGTTTATTGTAAAATGCGGCCATATCTCCGGCTAGGAAGGTCGCATCAACGTGCTCCCGTCTCTAGCAACCCCGCAGCCCGAGCTACGAGTGAAAGAACTAAACTTACATGAAACTTCTGTCAGGTTGCTTTAAAGGGCCTATCATGCAAAATGCACTTTGTGATGTCTTTTATACATACATATGTGTCCCCGGTGTGTCAGGAAACTCACGCAGCGTCAGAAAATAAAACCCTCTCTCTTTTCCTCCGTACCCAAATCTCTAAAAACGGAGCTACAACGAAGCTGATCCAGATTTCCATCCGCTGTGACGTGTCCATCCGATCTGACGTCAAATCGGCGGCAGACCCACAGAAAATTGCTATCAGAAACAATGCCTGACGTGTTTTGGACGTCTTTGTTTAAATTAGCAAGCCTCGCTAACACTCAGAGCTAACCTGTACTGTAGAGCACGTGTTTAAAAAGCAGGAAATAAAAAAAGGGACTCACCTTGTGGTAAAGCGCAAGAGCATTTGAGCTCCATACTGTTTCAGAAATAATCCTTGACGTGGTTTAGAACAGGATGGCGTTTTATCACAGCAGAATTTAACTTTATCTCCGGTAGAATTCTGATCAGGCATTAGCTCCGCCTCCTCTTCTTTCTTTTTTTTCAAGCTAAGGACCCAAAATCTGCGTTTCTCTAACAGGGCTTCAAAAGAGGGGTTTGAGCAGTATGAGGCATGGCTACAATGGCTGATCTGTTTGGTATTTTGAAAAAAAAACTTCACAGAAATGTTTTATATAGGTACGGCCCTACAATATATTTTTCAAATATAGCATGATAGGTCCACTTTAAAGTCAAGCTTCAGTTTAAGATTCACCCTGTAATAGATGTAAAACATGTGATGGAGCATTACTAACCTGACTCAGATGGTTTGCTTCACCAAACGGAATTTGATTTAAAATCGATTAATCGTTCAGCCCTAATGACAGCGCAGTTTTACACATCTTATACAAATATATGCTTACTTATGTTGCAGAGCTGTCTTTGATTGTATTTCTGTTCAGACTAGATGAAGAAAATGCCTTCAACATGAGTGAATGCCACATTTATATATACAACAACACCTGTTTTAGTTTAAACAGAATGCACTTGAAATCAACCATTAAGTACTCCACATGTCAGGCTGCAGCAGGCATAAGGAATCATATATTTTGTGCTCTGACTGTGTGTGTGTTCCCTGCAGGTACTTGCCTCAGGACAGCTCTCTGCAGTCTGAGACGGTGCATTTTAAGAGGGGAGTGTGCCAGCAGTTCTGCCTGCCCTCACACACCGTCAACCTCAGCGAGTGGGCCGACGAGGAGGTGAGCCACTGAAACACAGGCCTGTATGAGGCTGTAAAAATCCACATACATAAGGGCAGATACAAATGTACTGTCTTTCTCTCCTCAGCTGCTCTTTGATGTGGACAAAGAGGTTTTCCCCATGGTGGTGCAAGCTGTTGTAGACGAGGGGGATGGTGAGTGACTGTGTTTATCACACTGATGGTCTGATGTGAAAGTAGAACTGCAGAATCTTAAGCTAAGGCATCTGCACTGTTTTTTGAATCCTTGCAGAACATCTGGGCCACTCTCACATACTGCTGGCTACATTTGAAAAGGTAAGAAAGACACTTTTTTTTATCAGAGAAATTGCAGCAGAGCAAGAACCATTTATTGACAGGTCCCTTTTCAGTAACTTTTTTCATTATGGTTAATTGTTTGAGTCACATGTGATGGTAGGTATTTGTTGTTTTAAGTTTTTTATGACTGCTCGCTTCAGAAAAACCGGATAGCAGGACTTGATGCTGATAATAGCATCATGTCCTGATGTGTGGTGATGAAATAAGTTTATTTAAGAATCAATGAGAAACCATAAATATTATTTGAACTGTGTTGTCCGCAACTAAGGAGAGATGATTCAGCATTCAATTGAAATAGCTCAGAAATGACCTTTTAGACTTTTGACCCACAAAATTATAAAATGTATAATAATAACTGATATAATAACCATAACTATAGAATCTTCACACACTGACAGTACTCTTTTGTTTGAATCTTATGCATTTTTACATTTTGGGGAAATCATTCACAAATATGCTGAATTTGCTATTTGTGGTTACTGCTGGAAAAGCACTGCTAGATGTTTAGACATAATCACAATACCTACAATGAAGATTACTTTTGACGATTCTCTTGCAAGTTCTGAACGCAAGAATAGAAAAACTAGGGGATTCTTTTGACAGAATTTTACAAATGAATGAACATTTGTTGCTTTCTTTGGCAGCACATGGACGGGAGCTACTGTGTGAAGCCTCTAAAGCAGAAACAAGTGGTGAATACTTTTATTCTCTCCCCTTCCTGCTCCTTTTGTGTAACTTTCTTTATACTTTTCAAAGACAAAGATAAACCAAAGCTTTATTTCCCTCGTCGGAACCATCTTTTACTCTTCACTTTTTTCCTATCCCAGGTGGATGGAGTGAGTTATCTACTGCAGGAGATCTATGGGATCGAGAACAAATACAACAGCCAAGAATCAAAGGTAAATATCAGACAGCACTATCTTCTCTGAGTGCGTCAGGAGTGACATGATAGTTATTAGTTAAAATAAATCGTTCTGCAGCTCGACTTTACAATCCTTTTTTCCTCTCCAGGTTGCTGACGATGAGATCAGTGACAACAGTGCTGAGTGTGTGGTGTGTTTGTCGGATGTGCGAGACACACTGATCCTGCCATGCAGACACCTGTGTCTCTGCAACGCCTGCGCAGACACTCTGCGTTACCAGGCCAACTGCTGCCCCATCTGCAGGCTGCGTGAGTTCCCATGAGCAATGGAAGAATTTATTTTCAAATTAGAGGAAAAAGGCCTAAAAAGGGAATTCATTTTGATAAAAGCTGCTTCCCAACGTAAATGCTATCTTAACTTGTTTTTATTACAATAATTCCTTCTATGAATCCATCCATAATGTTTCATAAACTATTTATACTGTGTTATAGCCTGCTGAATAACTAGGTATAAGCCCTAATTCACATTATACATAATTTAATAATGATTTTTAAGGGACAATATTAAAATACTTCATAATTGAAATAGTTCAATTACTTCTAAAACTTTCTTCACTTAAATCACAGATTTGATTATATATATTTTTCACTTTACTTGAAGCAAACAATGAACACACATAGTGACTTCTAACCAGCTTGTAATGTGTTGTACTGCCTATACATCAGGACAAGCAATGGATCATAATTAATACTTGAACAAATATTGAAAATGTTTTGTCATCTTCATTTTTATTCAGCATTCAGAGCTCTGCTGCAGATCCGAGCCATGAGGAAGAAACTGAGTCCTCTGTCACCCTCCAGCTTTAACCCCGTCATCACTTCACAGACCTCTGACTCTGAGGAACACTCGGTGAGAAGTCGTTGACACAGAAAACCTGAATAAACATAACATTCCCAGTCCCAGTGAACTCACCAGTGTCCCCTCCTGGTTTCAGGCGTCAGAGCACATCCCTCCAGGCTACGAAGTGGTGTCTCTCCTGGAGGCTTTGAACGGCCCCCTCAGCAGCACCGTGGTGAACCCTCCTCTCAACTCCGGTCCCAGCAATGTTGCCGGAACGCTGCCTCCGTACAGCAGTGAGCCTCACCCAGCGCCGGCCCGCTCCCTCTCCCCGCTCGACCACTCCAACTCCAGTCAGGGACTCAAACTCAAGAAGAGTGGTTCAAAGTGAGTATAAGCGACAGCTAATGCTAGCACATAAGCATTACATCGCAATAATCTATTAAAAATGGTATTGGCTCTATTTTTCTTTGCATTCAGACAAAAATGGGTACCACTTTACAATAAGACTACCCTTATAAAGGGTTTACGAATAGTTTGTAATTAATTAATTAATAAGGTTATGAACACTTTATAAATCATTAATGAGCTTTTATAAGACATGAGATAAACAGGGCGACTGTGACCGGTTGCTTGCCAAATAGTGAGCCCACATTTATCTGTACTGCTAAGTCTTATATTGGCTACTTAGCTTACTCCAATATAAGGCTTAGTCATCTTGCCAAATAGTGAGCCTGTGTTGATGTATGAAAAGTATGTTAGAATGTTATAGAATTATAACCTAATTATAAACGCTTTATGAATCCTTTATAAGGGTAGTCTTATAGTAAAGTGGTACCAAAAAATGTGTACTACGAATATATGTGTTTGTTAGTTTATTATTTATTCCCAGAAAGATATCCTGCTGCTCATGTTGAGTATGATTAACAAATATATGCCTATGTTTGCACTCCAATTTATATTTGTATTAGTTTAATTTAATCTGAGTGGTTTGTATTATTATTTTAATATCCTATTATGAACATTAAAACAATAATCTAGTTAACAATAGACGTATGTTTTGTTCTATTATTTTATGGAAACAATCCCCGTCATTATGTTAAAATCCTCTCACTGTTATTTCTGTCTATTTCAGGTCACTTTCCCAGAATTCATCTGTGCTTCCTGAGGAGGAGGACGAGAAGTCTTGCAGTGAATCCGAGGCCTGTCGCCACAAACTTGCCATAGACCAGCAGGAGGTGTGTGTGTTTGTATGAGTGTGTGAAACAGAGACAAATAGAAAACACATTGGTCAGATACTTCTAAAAGCTTTATGTTGTTGTTGTGAGCTCCTCTCTAACATCTCCTCCCGTTGTTACAGAACGGATTGACTCCAGACAGCGAGAACCTGACTCTCTCGTCCTCTGGAGCCATCGACCAGTCGTCCTGCACCGGAACCCCCCTATCCTCCACCATCACCTCCCCTGAAGGTACACACACACACACACACACACACACACACACACACACACACACACACACACACACACACACACACACACACACACACACACACACACACACACACACACACACACACACACACTCTGTATATTTTATATTTTCCTTACCTAACATAACCATAGACCAGCAGACCAGGGCCCAGGTATATTGCTAAAAGACAAACAACAGCATTAATTTGATGCATACATGTAATACAACAATATAAATCATAACACACTTTTTGTCACACAATGCAGACCCAGAATTAGATCATTTAGATCAGGGATGGGCAAATGGCGGCCCGGGGGCGTCTATCGTTTTTCCAACCCAGTTTAGATTTAACCACGCCCACTTCCGCATTACACAAGGATCGACGTAGCTCTACGCGATAGCGTCATAGACTTCTTCTTCTGCAGTTATAGCGGTTGCGGTAAAGCAGGATATTGAATAGTTGTTTTGTGTCTTTCCAAAGGATTTGTTAACTGAAAGTAAACGATCCTGTAATCAAAGCCATATCGAAGAGTCCTGAGATTGTATTACTGGTGTTTTATCATCTATAAATAGCCTGTGTGTATCCTCAAATGTCGTTTTCAGGACAAACAAAATACGTTTTAAATATCTTATCAGCTGGTGTAAGTGCAGAATATCGAATATAACCTTGACTATTACTGTGTACTTCATTTATCTGACAGCATTATTTAATGATACTATTTTATATATATATATATATACACACACATTTATTCATTTATAAACATATATATATATAAACACACACATAAATGTACTCACACATGTATTTATTCATTTATACACACAGATGTATTCATTCATTTATACACACACTCACATATATACACTTTATATTAATTAATTTGTACACACACACATATATATATATATAAACAACACAATATAATAAAAACAGTTGCAATAATAACATAATATGGTATGATCAATTCTACCCTTTTGTTTTTGCTCCATTTCAATTAAAAGATATTTTTCAAAATCAATATTGGTGGGGGCTCTTTTGCAAAGATAATCAATAACACCACCTGACAGTTGTTACAGATTATACAGCATACTTGTTACTTACACACATGTGCGATGGTCCCAAAAAAGCCAAAATCTGCACTGTAAAAAAATATATACATTTATTAGGCACTGTGAATAAGGGTTGACTGTGTAATAATCATGCCTGTTATTAATGTCAAATGTTATATGTTGAATTATATAACAAAATAGACATTTATAACATATTATAAATGTCTATCTTTAAATAAAATATTAAATAGATACCTTTACATCCCAAACAGAAGGTAAAAACCTTAATATGTTACATGACAAACAAAAAAACGAAACATTATATAATAATAATAATAATAGATTTAATTTCTTAGCGCTTTTACAGGTGCTCAAAGACGCTTTACAGATATAGTGAAGGGAAAAGAAAAGGAAGGCTATATATACAGATGTTTGCTAATGTATCCCTCTTATATCCATCAGGAATTCATATTAAATGATTAATTAACATTACCTCAGCACAGCATAAGTGTGGTCGTCAGTCATATTGACAAAGAAGCACTATTATATTGTATATTGTATATTAATATGCGGCGTTTAAAAGGACGGTATTTCACTTGTCAGATTCAGATTTTGCGGGTGTGCCGCGTCTATGACGCTATCGCGTAGAGCTACGTCGATCCTTGCGTAAAGCGGAAGTGGGCGTGGTTAAATCTAAACTGGGTTGGAAAAACGATAGACACAGCCCGGGGGCATAACATTTTTTTTTACTTGTAGTACTGATACCGTCCACTAGACTCCTAGTTACGTAGCGAGCTGCGTACATATTTATTCCACTGTTAAATAACCTGTTCAATACAAACATGACACTTAACATGCCAATAACATTTCTGTGAACTGATATTTGTTTAGTGAGCTTATTAGAGCATGTTCCCTGAAAGATTGTAAAATGTCAATGAAGATGTCAGACTTAGTATATTTGTTAATAATTACATACAATACATGGCATTTGTGTGTGTTCCAAGTGAATCTGTGGCCCCCTGGTGGCCAGTTCATAAATGATGTGGCCCCCACCACCATCCAAGTTGCCCATCCCTGATTTAGATAATGACACCAACATTAAAACTGATATAGGCTTGGTGGCATCATGAACATAAACCAACTGGCCTTTTAAACATGCAGCAATATAATAATGCTGTAGTATGTGGAATTGCTTTATGCTCCTTGTACTGTACATGTAAACATTAAAATCAAATAAATAATCCTTCTTAATGTTAAAGAATAATGAGTCTGATATAGTAGTCTTACCAAAAAATCACAGCAATGTTTAAATACAAAGACACACGCTGATAAAAAGAAAAGAAAATCATCAGATATTCAGTGAGACAAACAGAAACGACAACAAAAAAATATATAAAAGTCTCTCGGGGCTCATGAGCTCATTCTGTATTTCAGCCTCTTTCAAACATTCATCATATTACATAAATGTGATTTTACATGTAAGACTCATGTCTTCACGTTTGTGTAAAAGCCTTAACTGCAATCACCTGCTTGGACCTAGTAACATTATTGTGTCAACATCAACAAGGCATTTAATGCTGTCAGAGTAGTCTATAAACATTTCCCCCTTCATGTTGCGACCGAGGCTGAGGAGGAAAAAACCAACCCTCCAGGCGCTGCATCAAGCATTTTAACATAAATAAATAATAAGCTTGTACCACCTCAGCACTTAACGTCTGTGCAACTGGATCTGCTTTTATGGGAATTCTGCTAAATGGCTTTTTGGCACAAAACAGGAAGAGGAGTGTTATTCCAGCTGGAACAAAAGGTTCCATAAAGTGACCAACATGGTGAATCCCAGTGTAGTCCATCCCATGTCTCTGACAGAGCTGTCGAATAAATTGGAATACTCTGGTTTCAAATATTCACTACTTCATGAAAAATGTAATGAAACAAAATACAGAGGGAAGCACAATAAGATGGTTGTTCAAGGTGCTCACTTAAAAAAACAGATGACCAGAACATCCAATAGGGTCTGAAGGTAAGATTATTACTTTTTGTAATTGTTATGGTGGGAATGTTACCCGGCAACCAGAGGAAACAAGTCCTCGGAGCCGGAGCCCGACCGTGATGTGTGTGTCCGTCTGTCTGTCAGACCCAGTGAGCACCAGCCTGGTCCAGTCAGTGATGTCCATGGCCTCGTCCCACTCGCAGCACTCCCACATCAGCACTGACACCATGTCCTCCATGTCAGGGTCCTACCTGGCGGGGGCAGAAGGCGAGCCCGGGGGGGACGAGGGCGGAGACGCTGAGGGGGACGAGAACCAGGACGCCCCCATGGAGAGCCGAGGACCGTCGCAGCAGGACGGGGTGAGAATCCAGGGAGGGAAGAGAATACGCTGCTCCATCCCGACATCTATTTAAAGGGGACCTATTATGCAAAATCCATTTTTCATGTCTTTTATACATAAACATGTGTCCCCTCTGTGTGAAGAGACTCTGAGAGTTTCAGGAAAAAAGATTCTCTCACTTTTTGTCCTGATCCATTTATATAATAACCTGTCTGAAAATGAGCTGATCAGATTTTGGCCACTTTATGATGTCATTACGATGTTTTGGCTTGGGTAACCATTAGCCAATCACCAACCAAGGAAAACCCCCCCCCACCTTATCACCCGAATCTCCTCCTAGAGCACCATTGTGTTCTTTTTAACCAAATATCTAAGTAAGTACTTTTGAAACAGAGGGGATTATGCGATGCTACAATGATCTGTTTGGTATAGAGAACCGCAGTGACGCATCCTAAAACCCGGATGTAAACTCCTTCCGGTTCCTTCGTCAAAAATGCAATGCAATTTCTCCATAGGATTTTGGAAAATAGCTCGAAATAAGGTCTGTGGTTGACACACAGACGGATCACGTTTTGTTCAGCCGGATAATATCCACATGTCTACCCTACTTTTATAATCTTCGAAGCATAAATCTAGTCGCAAAATGCTAACGTTATGCTATAAAGGAACTACAGCAGGGTCGCTGCTTCAACGTCATGCTAACTTAAGATCCATATTCAAAAATACAGATTCTAAATTGTACAAGTTGAAGCGTTTGTTTGAACAATTTGCAGGAGGCAGGTACTTGCTTTCAAGCAGAACAGGGCAAACAAACTTAGCGGGAGTGTTTACGTGTTCAGTGTAATGACGTAAAACGGCCTGGACAACTTCTGTAGTCCTATTAAGCCCCATGTTAACAACCATCGTTTTTTCAGACACGTAAACTCTTCCAAAATCACCAGTGGCGTCACTGCTGATGTATTTACAGTAATGTCGTGGAACAAAATGTGATCTGTCTCTTCAATTTGTGTCAAACACAGACCTTGTTTGGAGCTATTTTCCAAAATCCTATGGAGAAATTGCATTGCTTTTTATCGAAGGAACCGGACGTGGTAAAAATGCTAACTTACTTCCGGGTTTTAGGATGCGTCACTGCGGTTCTCTATTTCGAGCCAAACACTTCAGAGACATGTTTTGTATATATCTGAGACCTATAATATATTGATGAAAAACGGTATAATAGGGGACCTTCACACTTTGGTTTCCTTTGTGTCTTTCATTCAGGAGTTTTCCCAGGAGCCAAAGGAACAAAACTACTCAGTGGCTGTGGAGGAGCAGGACTCAGAGGTGAGTGAGACCTGGTGGGCCATTGTGCTTGTTTTTTTAACATGTTATGAATAATATAATTAGTTCTGTAAGTAGTTAAATAATTTGTGTTTTGAAATAACAGCTCTTTAGTTAAGGGATATTCAGATTTGGAGCTCTTGGATGAAGAGAGAGATGATGATGTTACACCTGGTATAGAAGAAGAAGAGGATAAACAGATGCAGGAGGTTCAGATACAGACTCTGAGACAGATAGGGATGTGCAGGAAAGACGTGGCTCTCTGTGAGCCAAGAGTAGCACGTATGTTTTTGCTTTTTATTTTTATTTTAAGTGGTGTCATGAAAAATACGAATTGCCTCAGGAATGCAAACTTTGTTCCTATGAGTATGGTCAACTGGAGATTCCATAAAACTAGTCAGATGACCCAACAACCCGTGCAGACTGGAGTCCCATTCAGTACTTTTCCTAGTACATTGACTACAAAGTCTTTGAAGATGTGGCAGCTTTCATAAAAAAACCAACGAGTTCTTTAGTGGCTACATTTAAAGCAATGTTCAGATCAATTACTTATTTATTTTTTAAACGAAGCTGAATTTATTATTGTATTTATATCACTCTATAAGCATAATATGTTACATAGTTCATCGGTTAATTCTGTTTTTTCACACTAAAATGGTCTTGACGTCCTCTACAGTGCACTTAATGTTACGTTTGATTAAAAAAAGTCTTAATTGCAAGATTTGTTCAAGAAGACACTTTTTTTGTTTTTAAAATCTTTAACACCAACAAATATGGATTGAAGCGCAATATTTTGTTTTATAAAAAACATGTTTTGAATTTTGGAAATTATAACATTTATCTTTTTTCAATAAATCTTGACATTTGCACTTTGAAGAAGAGTCAGAAACGATCAAATGCAATTACTGCTAAAACCCAATTTTACAAAAAGTATATTAACAAAAATATTCATGTAGCCTAATTTATAAAAAAAAGAAAGACCTGAAGCGTATAATGTTGATTTATATTTTGAATATCAACATTACATATATACTAATACTGAGCTCTCTCTGTTTTCTCCAGGGGAACGATGTCACTGAAGAGGACTGCTCCTCCCCGTCCAATGGGAAAGGTAACTATGGAGACCATCCCTCACCTTTCACCCCTGCCCTCTCACCTCCCTTTGCATTTTGTTGCTCTCATGCTAAGTAAATAAGAAACTGTTCATGCAAACTACATATACGGAACTGAGTGGTTCAACTTATATATTGTTGCTATCTCTGAATAATTATGAATCATGGCTGAGAAATGAAAACAACTTCAAAACAAAGGAATCCAATGTCAGATTGTGTCCTCTAGATGGGGCACTGGGGAAGTCCCTTTTATAATGCACATTGGCTGAAAACACCAAAACATGCATTATCTGAGCTGAGGTGAATGGCTTCTCATACAGTTCGTGTGCAATAGAACCTCGGTCTACTTCACAGTGAAGGCGGCAAGAACGAAAGCTTTTCCATCCACAAAAAATCCTGTATAAATTGGAAAAGTACTTTGAAATGAGTGGCAGAGATCAGGAAACAGAAATGAGTCCTTTTCATGCCATTTATTTCATCTTAACCTCACCCCTAGATTCCACCGGGTCCGTCTGCGTGCGTTCGCAAACATCGCAGCCACTCTAGTCAATGGGTGCTATTCCACCAGACGCGCCGCGTTACGGCTCAGAAGTGTCCCAGAAGCGTCCCAGAAGCGTCTCGGCGCTGGGCTCCGCTCAAAATAGGATGCAAGTCTATTTTCGACGCCGGGCAGGAAGTGGAACGGTCAGAGCATCCGGCCCATCCCCAAAATAAACTAATTTTGCAGACCCTATCCCTCCGTAGTCTTTCAAGTAGGAGGAGAAATGCCAGCGTTCTCCTCCGGTTTACAGGCACTGTTTTCTTACTGCTGAATTTAATGACCTGTAATCAGGTTATTAGCAATAAATATCGACTGATTCCCATCGATCGGAGCATTCTTTCATTCATAAAAGGAAATGAGCACCTACAGGCCTCCTGTGTACCATAGATGAGGTTCTGCTGCACACTAGGCTACTGGCTTGCTATTGCATGGTTTGCACCTCTTTATTATCCAGTATAAAAAGCTTACATGTGTGCTTGAGGATTTACTGTATAAAGGCCATCATTTACGTGTTTGCCCTTCAAAAGCTCTGCATCGTTTGCTTTTTTAAGCCGCTGCATCATGATGTCAAAGCTTCTTCTTGCTCCATCTGTGTATGGGTGTCTGTGTGTAAGAAAGAGAGCTTGATGGAGTGCTAAAGTCAGTGTTGTGGTGTACAGAGTGTGAAACCCTGACCTGTAAGACTTGAAGAGAAACGACGTGGTCACCTTCATTTTGAAACCGTTTGAAACGTGTGTATTTACAAGCTTGTAGGTGTGTGTGTGTGTGTGTGTATTTACAAGCTTGTGTGTGTGTGTGTGTGTGTGTGGTGTGTGTGTGTGTGTGTGTGTGTGTGTGTGTGTGTGTGTGGTGTGTGTGTGTGTGTGTGTGTGTGGTGTGTGTGGGTGGTGTGTGTGTGTGTGTGTGTGTGTGGTGTGTGTGGTGTGTGTGTGTGTGTGTGTGTGTGTGTGTGTGTGTGTGTGTGTGTGTGTGTGTGTGGTGTGTGGTGTGTGTGTGTGTGTGTGTGTGTGTGTGTGTGTGTGTGTGTGTGTGTGTGTGTGTGTGTGTGTGTGTGTGTGTGTGTGTGTGTGTACGTGTGACTCCTGGGGCCAGCGTGAAACGCTCTTCCTGTAAAATACAGAATGACCTTTGAGTTCTTTAGGAGGCGAGCGGACCTGAGCTGCCTGACAGACTGTGAATGTGCACACGCGCTGTAGGGTGTATGTTTGCATCTCGCACCATCGCTGCCAGACAGCCTCTGAATGCCCTGCCTGTGTCTCTGTGCTGAGCTGCCAATCATCCAGTTCATCTTCTTCCTCATTAGCGCGCACACACAAACACGCACATGCACACGTACACACACTGGCTTGCTGCAGGCATGACGCACTTGATGAAACATGTCAGTATCTGTTATCTGGCCATGCTGGGAACGGCAGTAACATGCTAATCTTAAAAATGCTAATCTAACTAATATGGATATTTCTAGCTCATTTTGTCGGCTTACCTCATTCATTAGAAAATCAAAAGAAGTTGAGAATATGACCACATGTTGGGGGCTTTCAATCAACTATTTTAAATTATAACGAGACATGGAATATATACCAAAATGTCTGTTCATTTCTTTAAATGATTCCCCTTCACTTCACCGTCAGTGTGGCTAGTTTTTAGTTCAACCAAGTGAACATTGTGGGCGATCAAAGTTACATTTGAGTGCAGTAAATTAAAGTGGATATCAGTATAAATCAAAATCTCTTTACAAAAAGTGAGCAATTCGGATGAAAACCTCAATCATGATATATATTTCTTTATTATGAAGATCCATTTAAACAATACTTAATTTCATGGTACTATGCAAATGTTTTCAAACATCCTGCCACACCGAAAAAAACGAGTAATTAACCAATAAATTACTGTACAACCAACCGGAGAACAGCCCTTAACACATTTAGACAAAACTGACACAAGTCTCTTCTACTAAATGAGTTCATTTTTTTTTCAACAACCTCTCCATTTTGTATGTGTCTTTCTGTCCAAAAACCACCCTTTGCAAGTATCTGATCACACACATAAGGTGTTTCTCAATGTCGAGTACGCTTGCTTGGTAGCACATGTCTTCCGAGCGTCTTGCTTCAGAAGCGAGGCAAGAATACTTCCTAGCCTCGGAAAACGAAGAGTGGAACAGGCGAGCAAGTGTGCAGGTGTGCGTCACATGAGAGGCCCCGCCTTACATTTTCCGCCACAGATTTGGGGAAATTGGTCCGTGCGCAAAGCATTGTGGGGATTTTAAGACCGCGGAGTCTACACATTTGCAGCCTCGAAATTTCTCCAAACGAAGTACGCCGGGCTCGGTAGAATTCCAAGTATGCTGGACATTGGAACAGTACGGCGGCCCTCGATGACGTAGTATGCTTGAAATAGTGGCTCTGGAGCAGCTTTACTCGCATGAGAAACACCCATAGAATTTATGAAGCAGAAATTCTTCAAAATGATTCTAAAGACACTGAGGATCAGAGCCAATGCGATTTGAAACCACCAAAAGCTTGACCTCACCTTTAGGTCAGATAACTGGTGGTAAAATGCAGAGATATTCTATAATTTATTATTTTCTTCATGCCGTTCCAGCATGGCCAAACTCACCCCTCCACCCCTCCAACTCTTGACACCCTCCCCCCCCCTTCCTCACCCTGCCTGCCCCACTCCCCCCCCTGCTGTGCCTGGCTGCTCTTGTTTGACCTTTGCCCTCGCTTGCAGGTGGGCGGAGCAGGTGTCCAGAGTTGGCCAATAACAATCAGGGCGTCGCCCTCTGTGACACGCCCTCTTTGGGATTGGATAATGAGCAGGCTCCCGACAGCCGATTCGCCGGTGAGTGGCAACCTCTCGAACATGGACCAATGAGAGCTGAGGACTAGGCATGGGAGTGAGGAAGATGAGGGGGAGGGTAATAAGAGAGAAAGAGTGCATGAGTAAAAAGCAATGCTTTTTGACACATTAGCTTGCTTTGTTAACATGCTAATGCTTTAAAAAACTACATAGAAACAAGAAAATTGTCTTTTAATTAGCAGCAGTTAGCGACCAAGACTAGCATCTCTGCTTAGCATGAAGATCTGGAGCCTTCCTTCTTCTCTTCATCCCTACGCTATTTGGTGTTGTGTTGCTTCATTGCTTTTCCGGTTAGCTGAGCACTCTTCCCCTGCTTTAGCCAGAGCCCTTGTGTTTGTGTGTGTGTGCGTGTATCTTATTATGTGTCTGAACAAAGCTTTCTGCATGCTGTGTTTACGGTCTGTTTGAGTGTGAGAGAGTTAAGAGTCTGGTCCATCCCAGAGTTTGAAGGTCATGTCAGCGTCTGCCAGCTTCCGAGCCGCTTCGCCAAACATCTGCAACTCATTCTCACAGCCCTCCATCTTCCCTCCATCTTCCCTCCATCCTCTCTTTATCCTCCACCCTGCTTTGTAACACTCGGCAGGTTACTGCGATGAGAGCTAAAGGTGCCAATTTTCTTGTTGATTTACTATTTTCTAAACAGTTGAGGTCAAACTTGCTTCACAGCCTTTAGCTCTGCATCCTTCTGGTAGTGCTGAGACTCCAAAACCCTGATTTACCTTCACCCCATTGAACCTAACACCCCTCTTTGGTCCTTTATGGTGGATGGTGTGACATGTTTTCTCTTTCTGTGTCGTAAAAGTGTGTTGTTATCTCTTTGTTTCTCTTCCTTTTCCCTCTCTCATTCTTCACATCTTTTGCTGTCCTGGACATTTTCTTCCCCATCTCTCTCCTCTCCTTGTCTTTCTCTTCCTTCTTTCGCCTTCTTTTGGATGGACAGATGAGGAGTCGTGCCCAGTGCACATTGAGGACTAGGTATGGAGTTATGGCTAGATGCTAGAACAGACACCAGGGTGATACGTCGTAGATTGCATGCACCATAACAATCATCCTCTTGTTGTGTGTTTACCAGTTCATCACAATACCGTTTTAATCAGTAATCAAATATCTTCTGATGCAGTCTCTCTCTATTAGTCCAGCATGTATCTCTCCTCAATCACAGCCTAGACCTTATATGATATTTTCTCATACTTTCAATTTGCACAGTAATAGTTGAGCTGAGGCAGCTTTCATTGCCGATGCTATTCATTATTCATATCCTCCGTGGTCGAGACATACAACTATCAATAATTAATTTGATCCCCTGGCTGATATTCACTGTTATTCAGTTCTTGTTGGTCGGTGAGCCTTTGAGATGCCTCTAACTGCAGTTGCAGGCCAGGAGGACTGCAGTGTGACACGGTGGTGTTGAAAAGGGATTCATAGTATGTAAATGTTGTGTGTTTTAGTGCATTTTCTCTGTGTAATAAGGCTATTAAAGTAAGGCTTTAGCCTACATCTACTTCAGTCAGATTAAGTTTGCTTGACTGTGTCACTATTTCTAAAAAAAGGAAGGTAGGTTTTTTAATTCAACCTGAAAATGCAGATGAAAGAAATTGGATGAAAATGTATTTGCATGATAATAAACCAAATTAGTAAACAATAGCCTATAGTGAGACAGTACTCTGCTATGCAAGGCTGCATCAAACAATAATTTTGTTAACAATGAATCTGCCCATTATATTTAGGATCAACCAATCAATAGTGAAAGATGTCCTTCTTGTCCAAGGTTATATATTATGTTTAATATGATATAAAACATATAAAAGCAGGACATCTCCATATTTAAGAGGCTGAAAGCAGCATGTTATGCCAGTTTGGTATGGGACATTACTTTAAGTATTAATTGATCAATAAAGGTGGGGATTACATTCCTGTCAGTGTGTTTTAAATTTTGCAACATAACCCTCCTCTGTCTCTTCGTCTCCTTCAGGTCTGATGTACCTCGGAGGCTACAGGCCTGTTTTGGAGCCCCCCGCCCACCACACCTCCACCAGCAACATCAACATGGAGGAGCAGGGGGCTGAGAACCGGGACGGCCAGAGTCCCAAACATCCCCGCCGCGGACCACTCATTGTGTAACACACTCTAACACAGACGGAAACACAGACTTCTCCGTCCAGTCTCAGCTTACCCTGCCATAGTGCTGCATTGCTGGATATTGTCCTGCAGGGAACCCCCCCACCCCACTATACCAACTGTCTTGATTGTCGCTGCTGGCACTTAAACTCCTCCCGAGCAGAAAGAGGAGGAAAGAGGAACAGAAGGGCAAAACATGTCGTCTGTGCACTTTTAGCTCAACATTATTGTTTCGTTTTTGTTGTGTTTAGCCCATTGCTATGTTATTATTTATTACCTGTAGGTCTAACCAATGAGAGCTTTGTATTGTGACACTATCTCTAAAAAATACATGCTGCTCCTCTCCTCTCCTTTCCTCTCCTCTCTTACCAGACAAACAGTCAGGGGCTACTGTGATCGGCAATCTGATTTATTACTGATGTACTTCTTCTTCTCTCTTATAAACTGTATGTTGAACAAGTGTTTGTACACTACTTTATAATCAGCTCACACCGGACACCTTGGCAAACTAAAACGTGCTGACTCGTCTCTTCGGATCAGGGAGCGCCCGTCTCGGCTTCGCATGCAACCTCTGCAGATGTTTCTCTTTTCCCGCCATTATTTTCCAAACAGCCTTGGACTTGTAAGGCGGCAGAGGAGCCAGGAAATGGCGGCCAAAATGAACAGAAATGGACTGAAAATAAAGGAAAAAAACACAGAATGTAAGACGATGAACGTTGATCTCTTAGAAGGGGAAAGTACATGACATTTAAATTGTCATCTCAACTGGAATTCAACGTGAACTTTGAACCCCTGAGCTGGTTCTATTAACACAAACACACCAACCGCGCCAAACTCTCTTTCTTCAGCTCCCTCTAAGCATGTCAGTATTATCGTAGTGCAACTGGAATCCAACAAGAACCACCAAGCAATACCGATGCCGGAGCTGCATCTCATGTGCAGTTCAAACTGGCCCGTTGCATTCAAATCCAGACATTTCAATGTGTTTAATTCTATGTTTAATCTTTTTTTTTGCCATTGGGAAGGGATTTATTGTGAGGAAAACATGATACGGTGAATTTGAGAACCTAAACGTGAGATTTAGGCCACACTGTTAGCTGGCATTTTGTTCATATTAACATAATCTCTACGAGCCCCTTTCTCCTCGTTTGTGAAGCCTTTAGTTGTTTGTTTTGTAAAACTTTAATGTATAGCTCACAAGTTGTCGATGTTCTCCGTTCCCGTAATTTTAATTTGTTGCAAAACACTGTCGTTTACTAGAATGTGGATGAAAACATGTGAAAATGTGTTAACGTTTACACACTCGCATAACAAATAACTGAAAAATGGACAATATCAACATTTAATGCACTATTATCTGTTTCCTAGACAACACACTTTGCGGTGCATGAGGCGATAGTAGAGTAAGCATGTTAGTCTAGGTCCGCCTGCACCCATATAGAAAACTGGATGATGGATCACTGCACACACATAAAGCCGGACCATATCCCTCTGCAGTGTTATCGGTTTCAGGAGCCCTATTCCCTCGACCCGGACTGGTAGGTCAGAAGGACTGCATTAGTATATCCAAGTTGCAACCAGTCATGTGATCACAGATCGAATGTGTAGATGAAGCCGTTCTCTGGCACCAGTCACAGTATGATATCAAAGGAATGGGTCCAAATCTGCAAGACTCCCACTTTTCTAGAACTATGGGTGAAAATGTCAAAGAAAACATCAAACGGACAATAAAGTTTTTGCAACTAAACAGTCACTGAGTCATTTCATTTTAAATGGTTGGAGATTCATTAATCTGTGCAGTTATTTGCTCTGGGATTTGTCCTGACATGTAACATTCCTTTCTGCCTCATCCAATCATTTTTCAAACTCAGCTCTGCAGCATTTTCCATTGGGTGACTCGGGGTCATATTTGGCCCATATCAAGATTCGTCTTTGACTTTAGATACCCCACCCCCCCCCCCCCCCCCCCCCCCCCCCCCCCTCATCCACTGTAACAATAATTTTTTCGCAACATGCACCTTGTCTCCCATCCCTCTGGCCCCCTCCCCCCACGGGAACTCAACCTTTCACAAAGAATATGTACACTTATTTTTATTTATTTATTCATTTGTTTAACAGGGACAGTGCAGATTAATTAACATTCCTGTAAATGTGCCAGAGTTAGCCAAGAGGCTATTTTTCATCTGTTGTCCCTGGACAGATTTTATAAGTGAACCTAAAACAAATTTCATTTAAACAAGTAAATACAATCAAATTAAAACATGCAACATACATTACTGGAATACTTAAATAAATAAAAAGACAGAACAATAAAACAAAACAAAAGAACATGTTGTGACGACCCCTCCCCCCTTCTGCCTGTCTGTGCTCCCTGCCTTGCTGTCCTCTATGGAGGACGGAACATGACTTAAGTATAAATAAATAAATGTATGAAGAAATACAGGAATAAATAAATTACGTACATAAATACAGGAATAAATAAATAAATACGTAAATAAATAAATAAATAAATACAGGAATAAATAAATGACGAAATAAATACAGAAATAAATAAATGTTGAAATGAATACACAAATAAATAAATAAAAGAATAAATGCATAAATAAATATGGAAATAAATACATCAATGTATAAATAAATAAATGTCGAAAATAAAACAGAACACACGTTATTATTATATATCTTTCATTTATTTCTACATTTACGCGACATACATTTATTTATTTATGTATTTATGTGTCCGTATGCTAATGAGGTGGGCGGTCCTAACCTCAGTCTGAAGCAGGATTCGCCAATTGTTGGAGCCAGGCAGAAGCAATAGATTTGTGGCAAGTCACATCATGTCGAGCTGAGCCAAGTCCTCTATACATCGTTCCACACGAAACTGGACATAGTCTTTTGGTTCTCCGTTCTCTAAATGGTCCGCTAATGATCGTAAATGATCTCCAATGGCTCTTAAATCAATATCCATAAATAAACCTTACAACTGTGGATAAACCATGGATGTATAAAGATAAGGGCTAAACAGTAAAGCTCCTGCATTCGAATCAGCGCGGTTATCCAGGCGTTAGTAGTAGAGCCCTCTGCCAGAAATGATCACACACTCCTGTAACCAATCCTGCTTCAGACTGAGGTTAGGACCGCCCACCTCATTAGCATACGGACACATAAATACATAAATAAATAAATGTATGTTGCGTAAATGTAGAAATAAATGAAAGATATATAATAACGTGTGTTCTGTTTTATTTTCGACTTTTATTTATTTATTTATACATTGATGTATTTATTTCCATATTTATTTATGCATTTATGTATGCATTTATTCTTTTATTTATTTATTTGTGTATTCATTTCAACATTTATTTATTTCTGTATTTATTTCGTCATTTATTTATTCCTGTATTTATTTATTCCTGTATTTATTTATTAATTTACGTATTTATTTATTTATTCCTGTATTTCTTCATACATTTATTTATTTATACTTAAGTCATGTTCCGTCCTCCATAGTCCTCTGGCAGGTACTGGGAGTGTTGTCCTGTTTGTGCCCGTCCATCTAGAGGCGGAGCCTCAAGAAGGCATAAAGGCTTGCCCAGCTGGGAGGTTCACTTTCTGATCCTGATCCTGGCCTGCTGCAGCAACCTCAGCCTTCCACCTGTGTTTGTATTTTCACAAATAGAATAAAGATTTCACAAATCTGAAACTGTGTTATAAAGAATCTTTAGACCCTCTGGAATAATCCAGTCCAGATTTGATGAGTCTAGGTATAGTGGTTTTAGATCAGGACCTGGTCTAATGTGGTCTAGATTTTAAAAAAGCACTGAAATCTCCCTTGTTTGTATTTTCACAAATAGAATAAAGGTTTCACAAATCTCAAACTGTGTTATAAAGAATCTTTAGACCCTCTGGGATAATCCAGTCCAGATTTGATGAGTGTAGGTCTAGTGGTTTTAGATCAGGACCTGGTCTAATGTGGTCTACATGTAAAAAAGCACTGAAATCTCCCTTTTTTGTATTTTCACAAATAGAATTAAGGTTTCACAAATCTGGAACTGTGTTATAAAGAATCTTTAGACCCTCTGGGATAATCCAGTCCAGATTTGATGAGTGTAGGTCTAGTGGTTTTAGATCAGGACCTGGTCTAATGTGGTCTACATGTAAAAAAAAAAGCACTGAAATCTCCCTTTTTTGTATTTTCACAAATAGAATTAAGGTTTCACAAATCTGAAACTGTGTTATAAAGAATCTTTAGACCCTCTGGGATAATCCAGTCAGGATTTGATGAGTGTAGGTCTAGTGGTTTTAGATCAGGACCTGGTCTAATGTGGTGAAGATGCGAAAAAAGCACTGAAATCTCCCTTTTTTTAATTTTCACAAATAGAATAAAGGTTTCACAAATCTCAAACTGGGTCATAAAGAATCTTTAGACTTTCTGGGATAATCCAGTCCAAATAAATCGGCTATGCAGCGATTTAAGAGGTTCAAACACGGAGGATTGTTCGCTCAGCGCTGTAAATTAAATGTCCCTTAACTGTCCCCTTAACTGCCGAATCGGATGCTCTGAATCGGAAGCCAACTTCAGCGTTGTCAGTTTGAGAGCAATACATAATTGGAACTGCTTGTCTCATTTAAACAGAGGTTATAATTGGATGCATCCTGCTCCATCTCTTTTATTTCACTATACATGTACTCCTCTTTTCGTGACCTGGAAATTGATGTTTGTCCATTAGCTGCCACAGGACAGTACCTCACACTTTTTATTTTTCGTTTTAACATATATTACATTACATTACATTACATTGCATTTAGCTGACGCTTTTATCCAAAGCGACTTACAATAAGTACATTCGACCAGGAAGACACAACCTTGAAGAAAACAGAATCATATAAGTATATCAGGTTTCATAGAGCCAAACATTTCAAGTGCTACTCAACTGGCTTTAGGTAATCCAGTCCTTTATTGGTATAAAAGTGCTTCGTTAATCGTTCTAACGCTCGAAGTGGAGTCGAAAGAGATGAGTTTTCAGTTTGCGCCGGAAGATGTGCAAGCTATCTGCCGTCCTGATGTCAATGGGGAGCTCATTCCACCATCTTGGAGCCAGGATAGCAAACCCACGTGTTTTCGCCGATGGGAACTTGGGTCCCCCTCGCAGCGAGGGCGCAACGAGTCGTTTGGCTGATGCAGAGCGTAGTGCACGCGCTGGGGTGTACGGTTTAACCATGTCCTGGATGTAGGAAGGGCCAGATCCATTCGCAGCACGGTAAGCAAGTACCAGTGTCTTGAAGTGGATTCTAGCAGTTACCGGAAGCCAGTGAAGGGAGCGGAGGAGCGGAGTGGTGTGGGAGAATTTAGGAAGGTTGAAAACCAGACGAGCCGCTGCATTCTGGATGAGCTGCAGAGGTCGGATGGCACATGCAGGTAGACCAGCCAGGAGGGAGTTGCAGTAGTCTAGGCGTGAGATGACGAGAGCCTGGACCAGAACCTGAGTCGCTTTCTGAGTCAGCTGGGGACGTATCTTCCTGATGTTGTAAAGCGTGTATCTGCAGCAGCGGGTTGTAGCAGCGATGTTTGCAGTGAAGGACAGGTTGTTATCTAGGGTCACACCCAGATTCCTTGCAGTCTGAGTCGGGGAAACAACTGAGGTGCCGATGTTGATTGTCAGGTCAAGAGTTGGACAATCTTTTCCCGGGAGGAAGAGCAGCTCAGTCTTGTCAAGGTTGAGCTTGAGGTGGTGAGCAGACATCCACTGAGAGATGTCAGCTAGACAAGCAGAGATGCGTGCGACGACCTGGGTCTCTGAGCGGGGAAAGGACAGAATTAATTGGGTGTCATCAGCGTAGCAGTGGTAAGAAAAACCATGCGGGCTAATGACTGATCCGAGCGAGTTTGTGTACAAGGAGAAGAGGAGGGGACCAAGAACAGAGCCCTGAGGGACCCCCGTAGTTAATATTAGTAGCATGATGAATATATTAACATTTGCTGAGTAACTTACAGGCAGTGGTGACTGGTCATTAGGGGCAGGTGGGGCACAGCCCCACCTAGTGTCAGCAGAAAGTATTAAAAGTAATGATTACAAAAAAATGCAAAAATTAAATTAAAAATTATATAAAATATATTTTAAGATCATGTTTAATCATCTGATTTGTCTGTACATTGCTGTTTTAGTCTGTGTTCTTCTAATTAGTGTCTACAGTGTGTGCCTATTGAGCTGTTTAGAGCCATGTGGGACAAAACCCGATCCTGCCCCTCCCTCTCCCTGTTTAAGTCAATGGTGACTGTAAAAACTACACTGCGCATGCTCAGAGTATTGTCCTATTTAATATGTGTGGCAAAAAAATAATGACCATAGGGGCATAGTGCTGCCATCCCCACCATACGTCATCTCACATAATTCAGAGCTGATTGGCTGTAAGTACGTGTGCCGCGAAAAGTGTGGTGTGTGAAGGGGAGGAGAGAGAGCTGCAGTGACGCATCCTAAAACCCGGAAGTAAGCTGCGCATGGCTTCCCTCCACAAAAAAGCAATGATATTTCTCCATAGAATTTTAGAAAATAGCTCCAAATAAGATCTGTGGGAAACAAACCTGTTAGATAAATGCACGTTTTGTTCAGCCGGATAATATCCACATGTCTACCCTACTTTTATAATTTTCGAATCATAAATCTATTGATTAGATCAGATTTATGATAGACTTTTGAAACTACAAGAATATAAGGAGGACTTTTACAAAAAAGTAATAGAGATTT